GCGGGGCAACTCCGTGGGCTTCTCCAGGGCGTCTTGCACACGCACATCCTGCTGCCCGAGCAGGGGAGGGACACGCACACGCGTGCACCGAGAGCAGAAGGTGCGGGCGCTGTCAGCGTCCCCCGAGTGTGACCCGGCGGATAACGCCAGTCCCGCCTGCCACATCTGCCACCACCCAAGCGACCTCGTGTTCGTGACGAGGCGTCGTGGAGAGAACACGATTACTGAGAATACATAGATTAACTTCTGAAAGCCACAGGATTTGGGGTGGGAAACGCGAGGCCGCACACAACCATTTCTGGAGCCGCCCAGCTTTGAACATTCCTAAGTGAAGACCATCTCGGAAAAGCCAGTGTCCTTTCCTAAAATAGGCTGGAGGTGGATTCCTTTTGAAATCAGCCTCTTCCCAGGCGAAGTTTAAGATGTGTCCGCTGCATCTCAGCTGGAAACTGCTGTGGCCCAAGGCAGTCCGCTCTCCTCGAGGTCCAGCAGCGACACACGGAGAGGACCCACCCGAGGCCGCGCGTCTGTGGCACACGAAGTGCTGCCCTCTCTCCCCTCTTCAGTGTTTCTTGATTCCGCTGGGCGGTGAGCTACCCTCCCCCAAGACCTTGCTCCTTTTAACAGCAAAACTCAACCAAAGAGTGGGAAATATTTGTTTCTCCATTTTTAAAAAAAATTTTCTCTTTAATTCCCTCAGGCTTCCCCCTCCCCCGATGTCCACCTCTGCAGTACACAAGGGTTCCAGCCCTCTGCGGAGCGGCCCCTGTACCTCACACATCTTCATTATTTTGCATCTCTTTCCGGCTCCTCTTTCCCTTTCCCGTCTCTTGGTCCCCTTCCCCTGTGAGAAAGATCCACCTCCCTACTTCCCACTAGCTGTCTTTTATTTAGCTCTTTATGTTTTGGCTTTTCTCGTGTAACAGAAGCCATGCAACATTTAACCTCGTGGGGCTAATTTATTTCTCTTAACATTACGGTCTCAAGGTGTATCCGTCTTCCTACAGACGACTCAGATCTATCCTTCTTTGGGGCACAGCAGTACTCCACTGTGTGTAAACACCACACTTTGTCATTTATCTGTCCTGAACAGATTGGCTGCTCCCAAGACATGTTATAAACTCAAGGTTTAAATGATCTCCGCATTCCGTTTATCTCAGAGTAAAACCCAAGCCCAGGCCCTGGTTCAGCTGCGCTTCTGCAGCTCTTCCTCTGCCCCTTCTGCACAGCTCCGGGCTGGGGATCCCCACGCTGTTCCTCAGAATCCGGCCTCCTGCCTCCCTGCCTCGGGCCTTCATCTCTGCCCAGCTGTTACCTCTCACCAAGGCCCGGTCAGCATAAATGAAGACTCCAGCTCACCCCTCGCTCTACCACTTACATTTACTTCCCATAATGCCTGAGTCTTTCTCCTGTACCCAACCATTTACCTACCCACCCTAGGTTTCTTCTCTCCGTCACTCCCACTAGAACACGAGCTCAGGGAGGCTGGAGATGTTTGTGTGTCGGGTCTGACCATGCGTCCCTCGGCCCTAAAGCCCGCCAGGAATCCGTCTCATTTCACCCCTGCAATCCCGTGGTGCCAGTGGACTCGAGAACTTGCCTTCTAACATCTCTTAGCCTTGAGCGACTCCACCCTCGACTCAGAGCCCCTCAGCTCACCTGTGGCCTTAGCCAGGGTCTGGCAGGCTGTTCTGAGAGGCGGATTCACCTCTACTGCCAGTGTCTTGCCTCCCATTTGCACAAGGAACCCGGTGCTCTTCTCAGAGGACTCACAGACCAAAATGGCATCAGAGTTAGAAGTTAGCACCCAGGAGAGCACAGCTCAGCCAGCAGGACTCAGCAGCCAGAGCAGAAACTTCAGCCTCCCACCCCTGGGGCAGTTCTTAAACACATTCCCTCCCTTCCCAGAGGTCGCCTGGGGCTGGATCCCCACCCGGTGGGCAGCAACCCTGATAACACACCTGTGCTGGCTTCTCTGCGATCCGTGTCAACTGCTCCGGTCCTTGATACCCATGGCCGGCACCCAAATAAACCTCCCACATAAATATCCTTGTTTGATATGCCATCTTTAGGAGAACCAAAGCTGAGACGTGCTGAAGCCCACCCTTGTACTGAGACAGACACAGAGCTTTCTTACTCCCAAAGCAAAACACAGATTCCCTATCACCTGGCAAGGCCCATAAGGCTCTTGAAGGTTTTTAACCCACGTCTCCATCCACTCCTGTTTGACATCACATTCCTGCCCTGCTTTAACATTGGCAATTCCCGATCATGGATGGCCTCATTCTTCCTTGCTGTTTTCATCCACGAGCCTGCTTGCAGAACAGGGTTCAGGGAGCCCGGACTGGGAGGGCAAGGTGTGGAATCACCACACAAACTCCGGGAGGTTCCTGGCACACTTCCGCTTTATTCAGCAAATGCACAGGCTTATATAGGGTAAGGTGGGGGTGGAGACAGGGTGGCGCTACTGGGTCGCTATTGGATAGGGTAAGGCAGGGGTGGAGCCAGGGCGGAGTCGGGATATTTGGCACATCGTTACTGGCCACAGGTTAGTTTTTGGATTGCATGCTTTAGGGGCTGAGGCAAATGCAGTCAGCATTTTAGAGGTTTTTGAGAGGAACAGTTTATCTGTCTAAGGTCAGATCTCTACACACCTGAGGGGGCGGATTATTCCAGCCCTAATAGGCCTTGGAGTTTTCTCATGAGAGAGATGGGTGCAGCTCTCCTGACTCAGCCCGACGTTACCCTGATCCTCAGTTCCCCCTTTTGTCTTTGACTCCAGAGCCTCAGCCAAAAGGACTACATTTTAAGGGAATTGTGACACTTAACAACTAGGCCACACACACTGAGGTCCAACTAGAGATTTTATTCAAGGGGTGGGAGCAGAGAGAGAGAGCAGAGAGAAAGAGCAGAGAGAGAGAGAGAGAGAGAGAGAGAGAGAGGAGGAAGAAGCAGAAGGACAGAAGAACAGAGGAAGGTCCTTTTATCAGTTTTGGGCTGGGCTATTGCTTATTTATGAGGAGCGGGCTACCTTTAACCTGTCACAGGCCAGGTTGCCCTTTATAGGTTTGGTCCTCGAGAAACCGGTTTAACTTCTCCAGACCACTGTGGCCTTGGGGGGTGGGGGCTAGAGATAAGAGCATGAGGTCTTTAAGAGCCAAGAAGCACCAGGAGAATGCAGCCTGTGCTGGCGGCGTCACAAAATACTTTACATAATCAATTCCCTAACAGTTACTGGCATGTCTGATCTTTAAAATAAAGAACACTAACAATATGCCAAACAAGGTTAATATAAATGGGGATCCCAACAACAATCCACGTATCAAATTATTCAAATTATCCCATCCAGCCTGAATTTTTTACCAGATGGTATCCCACACATTATTTAAGGTTACAACATCTAACTCCTGGGTATTAATTCCTCCCAAACCAAGTTTAACTGGATCTGTAAATTGTGTATGGCTGCGCGGACATCTTGAAATAGCAGGGCAGTCTCTTTGAAGGCTTGGGGGATTTTTTTTGTTAGCTGGTTGACCGTTGTCACAACTTGATTTTGTGAGGTGAATGTTGCCATTGTTGTGGTGGAAATAACTGCCACCATGGACACGATGACAGCAATAAAGGCGGAAATTTCAAAATCTTTCTTACGGCGGGGATGAAGCATATGACTGAAGAGAGGATCTGAATTTTGTCATTCTGTATGGAGATCAACGGAGAACCAAACAGCTGGGTTTTTTCAAGTTTCTGTATGATTATTTGCGGAATTGTCCAGGACAAAGCAGAGATCAAAGGCTCTGCGGTTAGAAGGCTGTTCCTGGGCGTGCAGTAGCCTCCCAGGACTGCGCAGCGCCAGCAGCCACAGGCCGGGAAGCACAGTCCCTACGGCCACACGCCAGGGCAGCGCAGCACCCATCCCACTGGCCTCGACCCGGTGCTCGCAGCCCTCTCTGCCCCGCTGGGCCCTAACGTCCCCGGGGAGTGGGGCTGGGAGCAGCTGGGTTGGAGTCCATGGTGGGAGGCAGGGACAGCGGTGGCCGGGGAAAACAAAAGGACCTTCGGCCACCACGAAGCTGTCGGACTTGGCCGCCAACCACGCTCCCCTAAAGGCTCAGCAGGCCCCGCTGCAGGTCTCTCACTTCGAAACTTTTTTGGAGATCCCAGGACCGGGCTGTGGAGAAGGAGGCTGGGCAGCCGAGGCTAAGGACCCTGGAGGCACGCTAAAGACCGAACAGAGGATTGTTTTTCCTCATCCCACAAAAAAAATGGCGGCGCACAGGGTTGAGGCCGCCAACTTGGACCGGAAAAGGCAGGCTCTTCCGGATGACCATTATTGCAGTGAGGAGGGGGTTTGACAGGAAGTGAGAAACCAGTGGGCGGGGCTGACGCCTTTGGGGAAGAAGAACGCGGAAGAAACAACCCGCCTGCGCCATCTTTTTTAAGAGGCTTTTGTCCGCCATCTTTAGAGCACTCAGGGGGCCCTACACTCACCTGAGTTTGGGCTGGAAACACCTCGATGCCTTTAGGGCGTGAGGACCCTTTACTAAGGCGGCCTGTACTGGCAGTTCTTGACTCATGACATTGCCCATGATGTGATCCTTGCCCGAAATTTCAATATTTACCCAGTATAGGCAGGTTCCCTGTCCCGGCAACAATTGTTTTCTTCCACGAGCCCGCTTGTGAAACAGGATTCAGGAGCCCAGACTGGGAGGGTAAGGGAAGGAATCACCACACAGACTCCGGGTAGGAAATGCACAGGCTTATATAGGGTGAGGTGGGGGTGGAGACAGGGTGGTGCTACTGGATCGCTATTGGATAGGGTAAGGCAGGGGTGGAGCCAGGGCGGAGTCAGGATATTTGGCACATCGTTATTGGCCATATGTTAGTTTTTGGATTGTATGCTTTAGGGGCTGAGGCAATGGAGTCAGGACTTTGGAGGTTCTTGAGAGGAACAGTTTATTTGTCTAAGGTCGGATCTCTACACACCCAAGGGGGCGGATTATTCCAGCCCTAGTAGAGCCTCGGAGTTTTCTCAGGAGAAAGATGGGTGCATTGATCCTGATTCAGCCAGACATTAACCTTATCCTCATTTCCTGTCTTCTTTCACACGGGGAACAGTTTCCTGCAGCTCCCTACGTCTCATTCATCGTTACCCTTGATCAGCCCAGGTGTTTCTCTCCCCTTTCCACCTCTGCTCCCTGTAAACAAATGTACTCTACCCTTACTGTGTGACAATTAGTTGTTTTTCCATTGACAGATTGGACTTACTGAGCAAAAGTAGGTCTGTGTCTGTCTCCCGCCCTCCTGGCTCAGTTCCTGGCTATGGAAACATTGAAAAGAATTTGGGGCCCATTGCAGGTCCATAATAAACGTGGGTCGCATGGGCAGTGACAGCTTTTTTAGCTGTGCTAATGCCAGCTAACGTACCATACACACCCAGCTCTGGCTGTTACACGTTTAAACTTCATTCTTTGTCTACATAACAATGAACTGGTTGGGGCCAGGGATTTAGCTCTGTGCTTCCACCACCTGCCCCACAAGCACAAGGTCCTGGATCCGAACCCTGGTACCAACAAAAAACAATACACTGGTTGTTGCTGAAGTCACTGGCCTTCCTCAAAGTCATCCACAAGTCCTGCTCTGGCCCTGTGAGGGCTCGGCCCTCCCACGACCTTGGTGACCTGTGCTTCAGCTGTCAAATGGGAAAGCAGCAGGCAGAGGACACCACATTCCACTTCCTCCCCTCCAAAGTCATCTCTTTCACCAGACGGAACACGTCACAGAGCCACGTGGAGGAAGCTGGGAGATGAACAGTTTGTACTCCATGGTAACCAGCCAGTCTCGGGCCCTAGGAGACGTCTGGGACCTGCATGTGAGGGACTCTGCTAAAACCCAAGCCATGGAGACGAAAGTATGACCCTAGTGAGTGAAGGAAAGAATTTGTGGACAGCAGCTCCAATATACAGGGGTGGGCAACTCTGTGGTGAATGTTTAAATTACAAAGTAATCTATTACAGTGAAGGACACATTGCCATGATGACCCCTCAGAATCCTCCTCCTCACCTTCAGCCTCCTTACCCCACTGTGCTGGCCCCTCCCTGAAGCAGTCCTGGAAGTCCTCTTTCATGAGTTTCTTTGTGCTGTGATGAAAGCTATGCTGAATGGTGCTGCCCCGTGCCGTCCAGAAGAAAGGTGGGCTCCCAAAACATTACCATGTGTCGTCTATCCACCTTATTCGCTGGATCTGGCACTTGTGTGACTTCTGAATCTCCCCCAAAGTCAAAATAACCCCGAAAAGTCAACTTTTTAAATCGACTCAGGACTTGGAGGCAGCGATGGCAATGCAACTAAAAATGCTTGTGAAAGAGGACTCCAGAACCGCTGCCAAAAGCGGTAGAACGATGGGCCAATGTTCCAGGTGAGGGGAGGGTTTTGAGGGGGATTCACAGCAGTGTGCCGTGTTCTGTAGTCATTTATAAATTTAAATATCCACCCTACTTTTTGATCACACCCCAAAGGCATGAGATGGGTAACAAACCATCAGGCCATTGCTTCTAAACACATCTGAGGTTGTGGGCACCACCAGCAGGTAGGAGCGACATCTCACTGTTTGAGGACGGAATGTTCAGATTCAGAAAAGGTTCACGAGCTGTGTTCCCCCTGGTAACCAGGAAGGGCCTTGTGCCGCTGTCTGGACCTGCAGCTACGGAAACTGCCGGCCTCTTTCTGCACTGCCGCCGCGGATTTCACAGTCGCTCTTGCCACTTCTTGCCCTTGGACACTCTCTTTGGCTGCGCGCGTAGACCCTTCCTTCAGGAAGCGTTCCTACGCAGCAACGACAGTGCACGTGCCTCAGACGCCCGCGGCTGTCACTGCAGCCGGCCCATAAGACCCTACGGGGCTCTGAGTCACAGACAGACCTGTGGCGCCGCGGAGGCAGCCAGCTGCTGTTAGCGGTGTCCGAATCTGATAACGCGAACATCTGTGAGAAGAGCTTTATTTATGAAGTTCAGTCCTCCCCGCCTAAGTTCAAAGACTTCACAGACTGCACACGAAAAGGCCAGGCCAAGTACACACACGAGCATTCAGGAAACCCAATGCCCTTTGAAACATCTACTCAGAAGTTAAGCGCATGTGGACCCAGTGCCTCCTCAGAGGGAAAGCCCAGCTGATGTGGACGATTTTATGACAATTTCAGAGAGCAATCAGGATACGTTCGATCAGGTCGAACTGGAACTGAACCAAGGACAGGACAATGAAAAACAGAGACGAATGTCCTTGGTAATTATGCTTCTCTTGTTTGGCTTTATCCGTCGTGTTTGTTTTGTTACCATTCAGAATTCATTTTGGAGCTTTAAAACTATTTTTACTGCTCTGGGTTTCATTATGCATCTTCTTTTGATACAAACAGTTTGCAGATTGGTCATGCTTTTTTTAATCAATAAAATTCAATGAAATTGAACAAGAAACAAAAACCACTTCAGCACATGTTTCTTATTGTACACTTAGGTACAGAGAAAAACAACCATCAGTAGCATTTATACATTTATAAATGCTTCCAAAACAAGCGAATCACGGTACCACTCACGTAGTGCATTCAGGTCCTTTCACTGTGCTTTTTACGTGACCATCGGCTCCCATCTAGGCCACACGAATACAGCATGTGATATTAAAGTATCCGAAAACTGCAACGCTCACTTCCTCCCCATCATTAGTCGTCACGGTGATAGTGAACGGTGAACAGATTCTTCTGTAAAGGAGAATTTCACTCTAAAATCTCTTGCCATTCTCCATTAACACTTTAAGCTTCTGAAAGCACACACTAGTTTGCAAGGTATTTTTAGACCATACGGAACTAGGGCCGGGGACTTAGCTCAGTGGTTCTGCGGCCTGCCTTGCAAGAACAAGGTCTCGAGTTCGACCCCAGGTACCGAAAACATCTGGAAATAGGAACAGGTAAGTAAAGCCGACACTTTAGAAGATCCCAGTTTCTGTGACCCCACGCTCGGGAGGTGACCGCTGTGACGTGTCTGAGTATCCATCTCAACTCACAGTCCGGGCCGATAAACCGTACAGATCCTGCTCGGCTACCTCTTTCTCGTTTCACAGTACATTTGGATATTTTGTGTCACCCAGATTTCTAATGAAATCCTTCAGCCAGATGCATAATGTGAAACTCCCACAAGTGTTTGAGTTCCTTAATTTCTGGTAATGTTACTGATTCTAGGGTGTAGATGGACCAGGATTTTGCAGCCAAGGAAATCTGTAAATGCTGACTGTGTCTAGCAAATGAGCCCTCTCCGTCAGTGTTTCCAATGCCACAACGGATTAGAAGGAAAAGTTATGACCTTTTTTTTAAACCAAATATTTTGGTTTACACCTTGGAAACCTCCACTCTGCAGCAGAGCAGCCCTTCCCGGTGGGGACGGCCCAAAGGAACTGAGCCCGGACCGGCTGCACTGCCCGAATTAGTCACCCCACTCGCTCTGTCCTGTTTCAACTCTCTTAAGTCACTATCTGCAACTCATAATGGACTTTGGAAAAAAACTCACAGCCAACTTTCCCTTCTAAACCCATTTTCTCTCCCTCCTCAGGTTTCTGTCTCGCTTGTGAAATTGCCATTTACCCGGTCTTCCAGACTCGGAATCTCTGAGACGTTCTCACCTCCTGCGCGTGGTTTCTCCACATCCCATCAGCCAGCGAGTCTGCCCAGCTCCTTTCCCAGGTCCTCTCGCTCGTACTCCCCACCCGCCACCGCGCTGCTGGGCGCGGACCCTCCCTGAACCACACCGGCAGGCGGACCAGGGCACGCACAGCCAACGCAATCACAACGCCTACTCTGCTTCTTCTGTGCAGTGTCGGCTCAGCTGTGTTACTTTGCAGTCTTGTGATAAAGGGAATCCTGACTTTAACCTGTGCAGATCAACTTGCTACACAGTGCCCGCAACGCCCCACCCCGACTGTCTCATGCGTGATCAAAACCGAGCTCCTCAAAGAACCTGTGCTGGGAGCAGAAGCTTCTTAGAAGTGTTTCCCCTTTTACCGAGCAGCTATCAAGTGTCAAGCGACTGCATACAACACGGGAACGCAGCTAGAAAGGGGACTCTGGGGTCCCAGTTGTCAAGGGGGCCCTGGCGGAGCTGGGGAGACGACACAGACGGAAGCCTTGGGTCCTGGGTGTGCGTGTGAGGGACTCGTCTGCCCGGGGTGGGGCCGACTCCTTCCCAGTGAAGCAGAAGCACATCAAAAAGGAAACAAGAAAGAACACGCATTAAGGGTTTGGCAACGGCTTTGCTGGGCTGTGGTTTGTCAAATATTTGGTTGCGAGATCTATTTAAATGCATTTAATTTTTTTAAAAAAAAGCACAAATAACCAAGCTGGAGAATTCTTGTAAACAGCAGTGAAAGAGGGAGAGCAGAGAGGGCGAGGTCTCCCCAGGAGCGGAGCCCACAGCCAGGACTCCTGTGCTCACCCGGCCCTGACCAGCGCAAGCTCCGGCTGGCCTGTTCAATGCCTGGTGCAGGAGTTTGTTGGTAAACGGAGCTCTTCGAGCTCCCTGCCCCGAATTTGGGTTCCCAGAGGCGTGACTGTGTCCCCGTCGTGTGCACTCACTGTTCTGGGAGGAGGGAGCCATCACGGCCGTGACCGCCTTCCCATCCGCTCCGCGCCCCTGGTGATCGAAACGATCTGGGAGGAGGGAGCCATCACGGCCGTGACCGCCTTCCCATCCGCTCCGCGCCCCTAGTGATCGCAAAGCTCGGTGCCTCCCAGGCTGAGGTCCAGGCGCGCTGGGGAAGGCAGGGGACGGCCCGACGCCGAGCGGGGCAGCGGGGCGAGGACCCTGCAGGCCCAGCGACACGGGAGCGAGACGTGCCTCGAAGTCGGGCGTGGGCCTCTCCCGTCACTGCTGACCCGAGCGATGGCTGTGTTCGGGGCAAAGAACTTAACTTTTCCCTCTCCGGCCCTTCCCAGGGAGCATCGAGGTAAGCGCGGACTGGCCCTTGCCGGGGTTTGTGAGGCTCAAAGGAGCTACACGGACGCAGTCGCTTTGCACTTCTCGCCCGTGTTTCTGGCTCTCGGCCGCTTCCCAGCTCACGGGAAACTTGTCCTCCACTTCTGCGACACGAATGAGGCCCGTGGTCGCCAGGCCAAAGCCTGGTGGCGACTCCCCGCCTCCTCCGGACGTTGAGGGCGCCACGGCCCGGGCCCAGGGAGGTCTGAGCGCCGCCCGACCCATCTACCCATCTCGCAGTCCTCACAGCCGGCCTGGGCCGCGGGCCATTCCGCCGCCCCTTCGGGACCGAGGTCCTGCAGTGCGGCTGGAGAGAGATTCCGCCTCCACCGCCTCGGAGCCCACCCGGCTCAGCCACCCCGCCGCGGTCCCTCAGCTGGTGCTCCAGGAACCTAAAATACAATCGCAAGCGCCGACACCCTGCTCGCCTTGGCCTGCGGCCTTGTGGCGCCCTCCCCTGACAGCTGGCCTCTGCCCGTTCCTCCTGACGAAGGGCTCTCGTCCTGGACAAGTCCTGCCCTGGAATCCCCCGCCCACACTTTCCTAGCAAGTGCCAGCCCCACAGAGGGGGCCTGCGGTCTCTGCTGCCTGGGAGGAGCAGGGCTCCTGTCCATGCCCTTGCCTACACCCTCCCAGCAGCCACTCTGTCCTTTTTCATCATGATTTATAGTTCATGTTGCCATGTTGCTTGTCTATGTGCTTAGGTCCTCCTCCAGCAGAGAAAAGGAAGCTCTGTGAGGACAGTCCGTTCCAGACCCGTCCGTTCCAGCCCCGTCCCTTCCCCTCCCTTCCCTTCCCCTCCCCCACCTTTCTCTCTCCCTCTCTCCCTTTCAGCGACAGTCTTGCTGTGTAGTCCAGGCTGGCCTTGAACTCACTATATAGTCTACACTGACCTCAAACTCACTGTGATCCTCCTGCCTCAGCCTCCCTAGCGCTAGGATTACAAACATGCACCACCATGCCCAGCTAAGTCTTTCTTTGTTTATGGTTTTATTCTCAGAACTAAAATACCCTGGTGCACAGCAATATTAAATAAAGAAGGTTGCAGGTGGTAGAAAAGAGGGAGGGAGGGTTGTCTTGAATTAAATTGGGGTCTTCTGAATGTAAAATTAGTCTAAAACACCTATTCTCAAAAGAAATTAAGAGTTTCTAACAAAAGTGATGAAAATTCTGAAGAGTAATATCTTTTATAAATAAACTGATGCTTTGCTTTCAGAAAACAATACAAATTACAAATTAAAAGAGGTATATTCCTGCCAAAAATAAGTCAATAAAAATGTGCTTCAATATTAGTTTTTGTTACATGCAATGTGTTGTGAACACACAAATCCAGAATGACTTACACCTTTGGAGCATTTCACTCAATAAAAATCTAATACACTAGGTCCAAGTGATGACACATTTCAAACCAATGAAACTTTTCTGTAGCCTCAGTAAACAAATGGCGATCACGTGTAATCAAAGCCACATGTATTTGCATAACTCAAGAATAATATGAGTAGATTAGCACTCCTAGCGATTTACATTTTAGCAACTATAGCAAAGGCTGAGAGTCTTTAGAGTGACATGGTTGGGGACTACTTGTTTTCCAAGGCCAGACGGTAAAATATGTAACTATCCTCTTCTACACGAACACGTTGTCTTAGACTGAGAAGTCTGAGGCAGAGGGCTATGGGTGACTAATCACACGCCCGGTTGTCAGAGTTGGAAGAGTTCTCTCAGGATTCTGGGTCAGGCTGTCTTGACAGCTGTGTGAGCCGTTCTCCTAGCTGGTCCTGTTCCTGTGGGTAAATTCGTACAACACACCAGCGAGGAAATGGCTGTGGGGTCTCTGTTCACTGTCCTCTTTTGTTCCCTGCAGAGACACCAAAGGCTATTTCCTTGACCCCCAAAAGCACCAAACAGGCCCTCCCGGTTGAACCCTTAGATAAAGAGGTCTTCTTCACTTGCTGTGGTGTCACTAACAAAAGGACGGGAGACCCTTAGGTGCACAGAGGGTCAGACGACCTGGTAACCAAGCCAACACTACCCTAATTAGCCTTCTCATGATCCATAAAGACCCAACTTCTGGCTCTGAAGGATCTTGCAGCAATTGGAGAATATCAACTTGATTGGCTGTGAGGTAAGTCCAGGGGTTAGTGGAGCACACTTCTGGTAGGTCTGTGTGGGTCATGGAGGCCTGGCACTGGAGACTACGTCTGGCCTCTGGCTGCTTCCTCTCTGGCACCGCTCTTGCACTCTGCTTCCCAGCTGCCATGAGCTAAGCCGTTTGCTCCACCATGATGTTTCTGCTTTAGAGTCAGGTAATTATGGACTGGATTCTCTGAAACTATGAACCTAATTAAACTTCTTGGGGCCAGGGGTTTAGCTCAGTGGTTCCGCCGCCTGCCTCACAAGCGCAAGGACCTGAGTTCGATCCCTGATACCAAAAAAAAAAGTGGGCCAAACAGAAGAGGTCTCGTCTTTGCCCACTCTGAGGCACTGACCTCTGAGTCCCTCTGTACTAATTAAAATTCTTATAATTTAAATTGTGGGCATTGTGTCCCAGAGACAGAAAAAGATGACGAACACAGAAAATTAGAATCAAAATGGAATCAATGTTGTGATTGTCCCTGACCATGTGGTTTAGAAGGCTTTAGAATTGACTTGCATGCCATAAGCACAATCTAATGGGTGACCAGAAGGCTGTTGGGAATGAAGACAGAAAAGGCCAGGCTAAGGACACTTTAGCTGGGAACAAGAGCTCCATTGGTAATTGGACTAGAGGTCATGTATGTTACATTACACTCTGGCAAAAACAAAAACTGTCTACATTTCACCCACATTTTAAGACTTTGCCAGGAAGATTAAGGACAGTGGATTAATCTGGTGGAGGAATTTCAAGGCAGCCCAATTCAGGCTGTTGCGTGAGTACTGCCAGCTGTTTTTAGTTACATTTAATTTTTAGTTATAGTGTGAGTTGGGGACAAAAAGAATACAAACGTTGGAAAAACTTAAATTTTGGCCAAAATGGGCCTGTAAAGGTGTGAGACCAAAGGAATGAGGTTGCTGAAAAGATTAGTATTGTTAAAAAGAAACAGACTACTTTGCATAGGGACAAGAAAGAGACCTTGAGGGCATCTCTGAAATCAGCAAGTCTCCATCATTGCAGGGACAAAGGGGAGAAAATGTGAGCCGTTTATTTGAGAAGACAGTGCAGGGGCCCCACACTCAAGATGAGCCACCTAGGGAAATGGTTCCCCAGGACTCTTTTTAACATACTCAGTCATCTAGACAAACACTACTGCTGCTGTGGTCCAAGGGGACTTGACTGCAGCTCCCACTGACATCAGACCATGGCATCTTCTGCATGATGCTGGTTTTACTGGCATGCAGAATTCAAAGGCCAGGGTGAGGGACACTTTCATTCATATTTCAAAAGAAGGCCAGGCAAGGAGCCTCTGAGAGGAGAGTGTGTGAAGCTATGGAAATGAAGCTGGGGCACAGTGGGGACTCAGGAAGTCAGAGACACCAGGGACAGGAGCACTCCTTTACAAGGGAAGCTGAAGGCAGCAGTGGATCCAGCCCGAGAGGGGCTCTATGGGCTTCAGTCAGTAAGGGCATGGAGTGGGGCCAGCCAAGCACCTGGAATGCTCACATTTCACTAACATGCACCCTAGATGCTGGATATAGAGCGACAGGACTTAATATTTGCTCTGCTGGGTTTGGGTCTTGCTTTGGTCCAAGTCTTTTCTATCCCTTTTCCTCCCTTTTTGGAATAGGAATATTTACCCTATGCCATTGTAACTTGAGATTATGACTATGTAATTTGTTTGTTTTTACAGAAGTTCAGAGCTAAAACATTAACTTGGACTTTTGAAAAATGCTGAGACTTTGTGGAAGGGACCATTGTGCTTCCAGTTGTACACAGGATGACATATTGTTAGGAGAAATTATGAACTTGCTATTGTTTTATTTGAAGATTAAGTATGGTTAAAGGACACGTGTATAGGTAACAAGTTGACAAGGGGTGGGATGTGGCAGTTAGGAAGGCTGATTGACTAGGGGATCTGCTCAGAGGATGGGTGTATCACAATTCTAGGTGTGTCTGCATGGGTCCTGGAGGCATAGTGTTGGGGCCAGTGTCTTGTTGCTGACCTCCTCCTCTCAGCCACCATGAACTAAGCAGCTTGGCTCCACCGCAAACTTCTGTGGTGACTTTTATGCCTTGGGACCGGCCAACCATGGACTGAATGCCCTGAAGCCTAAGCCAAATTAAGCATCTCCTCCTTTAAACTGTAGGTGTCTTGTGAGTGAAAGCTAATACAAACTCCACTCAACTTTATAAAAGCGGTTCCCACGAAGATGCTACAGGAGAAAGGCACACACAATCACTTGTGGTTCTTTCTCTTTTCTCATTAACTCAATTCTTTCCTAAGTACTTACCTTTTTCGTTTGCAAGAAAAAGACAAGTTCAATTTAAAGGCTAGTCTATTGGATTTAATTTTGTTTCTCCCCTGCCTTTTAGAGTTTTTCAGGCTATTCTTAATACTGGAAGACAGAAGGGTTCATTGGTAAACCACTGGTAGATACTTATTTAGAGCATTATTTCATTTGCACTGCCTTTGCTGCCTGGTGGATTATAAATGAGTAATAAAATTCTGTTGTTCTGTGTGTCTTAGGTTGACTGCTTCTTTTGTTATGCTTTACTGTACCAGAATGAATGAATGAGTGAAAGATTGAATGCTTACCTAAAGAAAGGCAACTGTTGTTACTCTGGTGGACACTCAATTAAGACCACAGAAATGCAGCAAAAAGAATCCCCCTAGTTTGTTTTAAATTTTTATTTGCTTACAAAAGAAAATAAAACCATGTTCTCCAAAACTCTTCTACATGTACAAAGTAATCCCTGTGGATGAGGAGTGACAAGCCCTGGGACATACTGCTGGGTGAAGCAGAGCTGGTGCAAAGTCGTTACTTTACAGGAGTCAAACCCACTGGGAAGCCAAGTCTATGTTTTAAATTATCAAATCCAGAAAGATTACATTTGGGAGCTTCCTTTTAGATACCCGTGAAACCAGTCACTACGTGATCGAAGATCCAGACAGCTCAATCAAGCAAGAGGTAGTGTCAGCGATGATGAGCCCTGTTTCTTAGGGTTCCCGTGGGGTTGGGGAGTGGTATGATCTGTGACTCTCTTTGAATTCGCTCTTTTCCTGCAGGGGCCCATTTTCCTCCAACATTGTCATATCTCTCCTGTTCATTTCAGGACTAGAGGTCCTCTATCACATAAGACTCCAGGGTTCAATTTATTTTTCCAAGTCGCCCTTTGGGCAATCTTCTCTGGACAAAACAGCAAGGAATGTCATGGATCAAAGGGATTTTTAAAAATATAATTTTGATAATAATAACAGTAATGCTAACATTATCCGAGGAGGAGATTTAGGCTGCAGACATGAGCTCCCCAGCATACAAACCCTGTGACAATATTTTCTTGGGTAAAATTCCTTAGGAGGTCTTGCCGCTGGTCTTTCAGTATCCTCTGAGGCTGTCAGATCCCGGAGCCCCACAGTTCCAAGGCTTCTTCCTCATCTTGGACAGGGGTGAATTCAGGTTGATCTGGATGGGGGGCTAAAGAGGAAAAGTGGGGTGGGGACCTGATAGAACCCAGAAACCACAAATGAATATTCTCCCCTCATGTGGGTCCTCAGAGACACAGATTTGGTCCATCAACTACAGAGGTATCCTGCTTGGGTAGAAAGCAGCAGCTGCCTGACCCAGCACACCGAGGACCCTAGCTCCTTTCCAGGTCTCACGGTTAGCAAAAGGAAGAAGGAATGACCGTTAGAGAAATGGTTAGAAAACTAGAATCGGAGCCAAGAGCTTAAATAGTATGTGCTTTATTTACAAAAGAAACCCTGAACATTCAGACGAGTTACAAAAAGAAAAACAAAATCTAAAAATCAATCTCATGTTAGAAGTCCATCCCCGGGGGAAAGGGGAAGCAGGCAACCAGGCGAGGAAGGAAAGCAGCAGGGTCAGGGGAAGAGGCTCATGTGTGCACGTGGGGACAGGATGGAGGGGAAGGCGCTGTGGAGCTGTGTTCCTACAGACCCTTCCTGGACCGGACTTGCGACAGACTCTTGGTACACAGCGGTACACCTCTCTCGGGACTGCCGCAGCCGGGCCTACTACAACTGACCGCACGATTTGGCCCTCACTCCATCGCAACTGGAGCGGGAAGAGCAAAGGGTCTGAAGGGGAAAGGCAGGGAAGCGGCTGAGGCAGGAAAGAGGAGAGCCTGTTGTTAGGGGCAGGGACTTAGGCGTGGTGCCCAGCAGGACAGATCTGTGTCCATAGCCAAATGCCCGTGCCAGGGTGCCCAGAGCGGAGGGCATCCACTTCAGTGCTGGTAATCGTTGTAAGGGATCAGATCTTAACAAGGGACGGGGGATTTGAGAGAACGGGGAGGGGAAAGGCGGACAGAGAAAAACACATCAGCAAAACATTGATCGATTTCTCTGGCAAATAAGGTTAAATTTCTCCCGAAGCAGAAAGTTTAAATTCACGGCCCCTTGTACTTCTCCTAAGCTTATCCTCGGACACCCAACATGCTCATGGGGCATGAAGTCGCCCCAAAGAATCTTGGGAACCTGCTCACTAAGGGGAGGTTCTAAGTTTTGAGGCTTCCCTAAGGGTCAGTTTTCCAGGGTGTCTTGGCCACAGCGCAGTAGGAACAGAGCGGGGCCCCCACAATGCTCAGCTGTACCCTCCAAGGGCCAGACCCGGAGGCCAAGGCTACGTGGGTCACCACTGGCAAGCAGAGAAGGCTTAGATGGGCTGAGCCTCCTCGTCAGGCCTTCGACGTAACCCCGCTTTACAGAAGAGGCCCGCAGATGGCGTCATGTAGGGAGCCGTCCAAGCTCTGCCTCCCCTCCTAACTGCTCTACTTTTCACAGCGCCCCCAACCTTGTGTAGTAAGAGTAAAATCGCCCTGAGCCCACACGAGGGTGGCACTTACCTCCCACACCATAGGCAGAACACGAGGAGGGGTCGCAATATCCAGGCTGGCCGGAAGGACCTTGCGGACCTGGCACCCCCAGGTGGCCCGGGGGACCCCGTGGTCCGGGAGAGCCGGGGGGCCCAGGGCTGCCAGGCCGACTCTCCCCTGAAGGTCCTAGGAAGCGGGAGCAAACAGAGTTGTTCTTTTACCACAGGAAGGAGAGTTTCAAGATCACCATGAAATGAAGCCATTCTCACAAGGAGCAATCTTACACACGACAGGACCATCAGCCCCTCTATTCACTGAGCTCCTTTCCTTAAACTGCGTTCACGGGCACAGAATCCTGCTGGAATCACATTCTCCTGGAAGTTGATGCTTGTAATCACATCAGGAAACTGGGAAGCAAAGCATTCTTTTCTCTGAAAACCTGTTTCTCTCTGTAGAGCTCTGGTTTTCCCACACATCTCTCGTGGATTCAGAATGTGGGCACAGGCACACACACAGGTCGCAACGTCCCAATCTAGTTAGAACGCTCATGCAAATCTGTACTGGCATAAGACTCCAGATCATTAAAATAAATTAGTCTGAGCCTAAAACATTATCCCAGAGAAAACAAATGCAGTCTGAAACTGCATCCAACATGCGAATCTAAGTTTCTTTAGTCTCTCTAAGACCGTTGAGGTTCTAGATTGAATGGAAATGAGAGCACCGGTAAGTTTTAAGTTTAAGAAGCACATGGGCTGGGATTTTGGTTTTGTATGCTCGTTGGTTTTAGTCCTGGGTTCTGACAGTGTACAGAACCTATGGAACCAGAGCTGAAGTGAGAAGTGGGGGTCTTTGATGGAACAGGGCCCCGGGACACGTTCGGTTCCCTTCAGTCAGCACCCACCCCCACCTCTCGTTCTGGGAGGCGCGTAATTAATCCAAGGTCCAATAACACAAGTATTTGCAGTCCAAATGATCCTATTACATGAGGAGAATCTCTTGCAATTATATTCCAAAATCATTATACGAGTGGAAGGACAAATCTATAAAACATTTAGTTCACTGCTAGGACTGCGGCTGTAAATGCGCAGTAACACGAGTCTGACCATTCTAGAAGCGGATTTTGTGCACGAAACTCCCACAAAGTCACTTGATAAGGAGCTCCCGGTGCCCTTCTAATTCCCAATTCTCTAGATTTCATTTCTCCCTGGGGCTGTGACAGTCCCAGCCAGTGAGCTGTAACGTGAAGCACACACCACTGTGTTCAGTCGGAGACGAGGACCTGCCTTCTCTTTCTCCTGGAGGCTGCCTGGCCCCCGACGGAGGTCACAGTCCAACACGGAGGAGAGCTGCCTCCCCGTCTGCAGGTTTGTGAATACGAAAGAAAGGCTCACTGCGTCCACCCTCCAAGTGCCAGTCCTCACCTAGCCTAACTTGGGCAACCTAAGGTGCGGACACAGATGTGCAGTCTTCAGGGCTGCGCATCGGGAGGGTCCTTTCTAACCAGCGGCCTCCCAGTAGAACGAATGGGAAATCCAGCCACTGTAGTTCGGTACCAGGCTGTAACACGGCCCTGTTCCTCCCTGTGACAGCCAGGGAATCTCAACATTCATATCTTGCAGGTTTTTGCCAGGTAGAAAGATTTACCTGTTGGTCCTGGGGGCCCTCTTGGACCTTGAGTTCCGATGCCTGGGTTTCCTTTCTCTCCCTTGAGACCAGTTAGACCTGTTTTCAAAAAAAACGAGAGAGAGAGAAAGGGAGCAAAGAAGAAAGGAAGGAGGGAAAGTAAGGAGGAGAAAAGTGGTAAGTTCGCTTTATAAATAATCTTGTACGCAGTTCTATTTTTATCAGTTTCCAAAATTCCTCTGATGAAGACTGAGGCGGCATATAAAGGTACAAGATCCCAGTAATGAATGTAACTGTACTGTCTACCTAGAATGTACCAATAAATTAAATTTTCAAAAAAGACTGAGGTGGGCTGGTTTAAGGTGATGGGGACCATAGGCTTTTCAATGAGGAATAAAGGTACGATCCCAGTAATGAATGTAACTGTACTGTCTACCTAGAATGTACCAATAAATTAAATTTTCAAAAAAGACTGAGGTGGGCTGGTTTAAGGTGATGGGGACCATAGGCTTTTCAATGAGGTCCTGACACTGGTAGCTTATGCACAATCATTGCGGAAGGCTGGTTCTGCGTGGGGCGCAGCCTGCAGTTACTGTGCAGCCAGCGCTGCTCTCCACTTGCTGACGCGAGGCGGGCTGCCTGTAGCAGGCGCCTCTGCACGCACCAGGCCCCCAGACGTGTGCAGCTGGCACTCCGTGGCCAGCACAATGAGAATCACAAGTGGACCTGTCTAACATTTTCCTTTCGGTCTACCCTGTGTTGGACCTGAAAATGGCATGAATTACAATTAGGCAGCAAACTTCTGAACAGCACGAATTTCCATTAAAACCTTGGAAGCATCAGGAAAGCTTGTGTTTCATTTGGCTCAGTCAGCCCCAGAAAAATCTCAACCTATTTAAATTTCTTCTCCACTGAGCAGACGCTTTCTGCTGAGCAATTTATGGTGCCGTTAACAAACTATACATTTCACAGGTGTGAAGGGACACCTCATCTTCCGAACTGGTTTTACCACGAGATCCTGGGAGCCAGGACCCCACCCTCCCTCCAGGCCAGCCATGTGCTCCACCGGACCGGCTGCCCTGGCTCCCCTCTGGGAAGGTCTCTGCCCTCTGCTTTTCAGGAGCAACAGGGCATTGAAAGAACAGAAAACAGAGCTGCATCTTTGCTGAATGTCAACTACTGAGAAATTATGTCCAATTGGTAAAGCCTAGCAGAGATCGTGAATGAAGATAGCCAATCTGATAGGTGATTTGATTTTGTTCAAAATTGTTTCTCAAGCATAAAAGTATCATCTCTCCAGAGTTTAAAGGCTCCTGATTTCCTCTGAGTAGCTGCCACTGATACTGCACCGCCTGGCCATTGTTCAGACCAGGAGCACCCTGGGTAAGTCTCCTCATGCTTCTTTAGTGTCGGAGGGGATCCGGTTTGCTGTAGCTACCAGAGCTCCCTGACTTGTCAATCAGTGAGCACTGGGGATCCAGCAAAAATGCCCCTTCTTGTGTTAGTTTTGGCGTTGCTGGTTTTGAGAGAACTAGAACATGATGAAATGTACAGATGACTAACAGCAAGCTGCTCCTGATTAAGGGTGGTGACTCAGGGGCCTGGCAGGACCTCCCCGTGTGGCAGGGTCATCTTGATTTTGTAGCAGCAGAAACATGGAGCTGGGGGACCTCCAGGAAAGTGCTCTTGGAACATCCCCAAAGTGTCCTGAGCTGTCCTTTGCTTCTTCATAAGAAAGCAGAGAAGACTGAGAGCAGATAGTCTGGCTGCCTTAATTTTCTAGCTGTGCAGAGAAAAATAAGTGAAATTTAATATAATCCATAACATTAGTCCAGGTAAGTGATAGAGAACTTCAGGAATATTCCAGCCCTTAAAAATGCCCTAGAAATGTCACCTGCCTCACAAACGCAAGGACCTGAGTTCAATCCCCAGTATCCAGAGAGAGAGAGAGAGAGAGAGAGAGAGAGAGAGAGAAAGAAATGCCCTAGAAAAGAAGAAAGGAAGTCTAACAGCTCAATTAGAAATTAAATGGGGATTTGACATTTTATTGCCCTTGAAGTTATTGCTATGCCAAGCTACAAACAGGCCAATGAGTTAATATTGTCCTTTGTGTACACAGGGGTACATACGAGTCTCACACTGAAGAAACACTTATGTCCATGAAAACTGAAAGAGGCTCCTAGATTTGGGGTTGAAAAAAAAAATGGCTAAAGCTTAGACATTACCAAGCTATGAAAATAGTCTGGGGCAGATTTTTTTCTGAGCTGTGTAGGTCGTGATTCAAAGTCAGGAAATCAAGAGTCCCAAGGTCACCTGTGACTGTCTCTGAGAAGTCTGAGGGCCCACGCCTGGGCATAAAGCCCTTCCTTCCGCTCGGGCCGACTTCACCACAATAAATCTCTGATTTGGTCGTGGAGATGGTGCCAGCCTCTCCATGACACCGCCGAGCTCCTTCTCTTTGACCACACCCACACACACTCAGTCCTCAAGACCCCACTCCCACCTCTCCTCAGTGGCCCAGGCTGAGCCACACTGGACTCAAGGATCGCCAGTATTTCCATGGCTATGTGGCATCTTCCATGTGACGCACAAGGACAAATATGTGTAGGGGGAACTACCAGCGACTGGTTTCTTCACTGCATGGTATCCGAGCCTCCCTGGGTACTACTTAACCCACGGGTGCTGTTTATTCCCGCATCCACCCAGCCCTCAGAGCCTACTGACAGTACGCCCCACTGATCTCTCTAGCGTCACCCCCAAGGAGAGTCTGAGAATCAGTAGGTGGCTCGGTCAACGCAGAAGACCAACTGAACAAATGAACTTCTCTCACCCGACATTCAGCCGGATACAGTAAGCGAATGTACAGCGCCTCACCTACAAATCCCTGAGGCCGGAGTTCTGTTTTAACTTCCACACACCTTCCCTATGTGAACCCTGCTCTTTTAAAAAGTCAAGCTGCTAAAAAAGGTGGGGGGTGGCTGGATTTAGCTCAGTGGTTCTGCTGCCTGCCTTGCCAGCAGAAGGACCCAAGTTCGATCCCCGGTACCAAAAAAAAAAAAGTCAAGCTGCTTGTGCAAAGAACCCAACCACAACTGCCTTTTAGAGACAGATAAAGGTGGCTCCAAGAAGTACAGGGCCCTGCATTTTTTTCATAAGCATAGTTCGCAGAAGGGATGAACCAGCTTAGCAAAAATATGAATTAGCTTTAGCTTAGAAAGAAATACCCTTAGATTTCTGTGGAGATGCCAAAAGTATTTAAGGTCATGAAAGCCACTGCCCCACCCCATCTCCCTCCTTCTTGTCATTATGTTTCTAATGCACTCTCTCTCAGAGCAGTTTCAGGTTCACACCAACACTGGGAAAGTGTACCGAGCTTCCGGTACCTACCGCCTGCACGCCCCACACAAGCAACCTCTCAGCCACCAACACCTCCCGAGAGAGGCGTGTTTGTTATATGCAATCATTCATGAGACTTTCATCAGAAGTGATGTTGCACTTACCACTAAACTAATTCTCACCCTCCAATACATTCTTATTTGGGCTCAGAATAGCAGGGATCTGTTGGTTCTGCATTCACTGTATCTCTAGTGCCAGTCACTACATTGTTGGTGTGAGTGTAAACTAGTACAACCACTATGGAAATCACCTCAAAAAAACTAAAACCAGAGGTTCCGCTGGACCCAGCTATTCCCCTTCTAGGTTTCTTCACAAGTTAAAGTCATCACATTACAATGATCCCCGCACACCCATGTTTAGAGCAGCACATTCCTAACAGCTAAATGTTGGAAGTGGCCTATATGTCATCCATAGATGAATAATGTGATATTTACACACAGTAGAGCACTGCTCTCCCACAAAGGATAAAACAGTCATCTGTCAGAAAACGGATACACCTTGAGATCATAATGTTAAGTAAAATAAACCAGATGCAGAAGCTTAAATATTGCATGGTTTTTCTTATAGGAGAACTCCGAAAATATAAATAAAGAGCAAATTGAAAGACAGATAAATGAAAACAGGGAGCTAGGTCTTTCTCAAGTGGAAAGATCAAAGGAAGAGTGATGTGAGGGAGGGGGTATAAAAAGGATTGAGACACGTTATATACATGCACCAACTGCCACGAGGGATATAATTTTCATGCACTGCAAACATGGACTATAAAAATTAAAACTAAAGAAAGAATATCTGTCAAACAAATGGATGGACGAATGAAATGCAAAGTTTGATCATAGAACCTGACGCAGCAGATCTGCAGGCTGCAGGGCATCAGCTACGCCCGCAGGTTCTGTCCCCAAGTCTGGACGGTCACGCGCTTCACGTGTATGAAGTGTTGAGTCTGGAAGAACCAAGAAGGCAGGCGCTGCTAGAGTCCCGTGAGAGCTGTGACAGAGAAGCTAAGTCACCTGTCCTTGGCCACGGAGCCACACAGCCGCAACCTCACTGCAGGCAGGTGGCACCCACCATCTACACCTCACCACCGCAGTTCTATACACAACGGGCAGCCCTGCAGGGCACCATCAAACCAGCCTGCATGTCCTCTTGGCCTCCGAGCTCAGCCTCTGCCCGTGCTCATCACATTTCTGCAGCTCCTCTGCTCATCGGCCCCCTACCCTGTGCTTTGAGTCTGAGTTGGAGTTTGTTTTCAGAGAGTTATTATCTTGCTCGCTCTGGCTGCAGGCCCTGCGTCTGGCCTTTTGTTGCCCATTTTCTGCTTCCTTTGACTCACTGGCCTCTGACTATGGAGACTTGAGACCTTCCTTGGGCCCCAGGCCCCACCAGCACCTCAGGCTGGGGTCTCTGCTGCTCCTTCAAATGAGCACACTCACGGCTCCCCAATCTCTCATCTTCCGAGCAGCTTCCAGGATTCCTGCCCAGGCCACAGGCAAGGCCTAGGGAACCGTGTCACTGCAACTGTACAGAAAACTCGAAGTCTGGGGCGCAAGAGTTCAGCTGTGTTGTATGTGTCTGTTGCCTGGGAAATGCTGGCAATGTGCTGACTGCAAGGAGAGTGTGTTCCTCCCTCACTGTACGCTCAAGTGCCCACTAGGTGCAGCATACTTAGTACCTAGCCACAGAAGGCAGGGCGACAGGACTTAGTT